TACATATTTGATTTTACATGTAATTACCACAGCGAGGATTGTATTTGCACAATATTGGAGGAATGTAGAACCACCGACTGAAGAACTGATTCTAAAAAAGATTTTGGATTGTGTGGAAATGGACAAACTGACTTTGTCTCTGCAGGAGAAGGAAGATACATACTTCTATCAAACCTGAATTTTTTTCTATCATTTGTTAGAGAAATGGGACTATATGTAGAGCTGAAATACATATAAATTGTAACAAGAATAAGGTACTAACCCAGTATGGCCAATGTCTCAGGAATAATTGTTGTTTTAGTTTAAATTAGTAGAGAAAATAAAAAAATTAAAACATAATATTCACTGAGGAAAAAAAATCTCCTCCTTGCATTGAATTTACCTCTCACCTTTCTCCTCTTGTGGGAAACCCGAGGCAGCTTACACGGCTTCAGCTTACAACAACCCTGCGAGGTAGGTTAGGCCAAGAGTGAGGGACCAGCCCAGAGTCACCCAGTGAGATTCATAGCTGAGTGGAGGCTGGAACCAGATCTCCTAGGTTTATTTATTTTTATTTTATTTATTTAGACAACTTATATGCTGCTCCATCGCATGAGCCTTGCGGCGGCTTGCAATCATTAAAATCCCGTATAAAATGCAAAAAATTAATCAAATAAATAAAATACATAAATAAAATAAAATAGTGGAAATGGCCTGGTCAATTTAAAATCAACAGTAAACCATTAATAGTTAAAATAGTATTTAAATAAAAAGGTCTTGGCCTGGCACCGAAAAACAAATAACGACAGCACCAGGTGGACCTCTCTGGGGAGGGCATTCCATAGGTTGGGTGCCACCGCAGAGAAGGCCCTCCTCCGGGTACTCACCCTCCTAATATCTTTCACGGAGGGCTCCCGGAGAAGGGCCTCTGCCGCCGATCTCAGGGGGCAGGAGGGCATATATGGACGCAAGCGCTCCTTTAGGTATCCAGGTCCCAAGCCGTTCAGGGCTTTGTAGGTGATAACCAGCACCTTGAATTGGGCCCGGACTTCAATGGGGAGCCAATGGTGCTGACGGAGGACTGGGGTTATGTGAGAACAACGCCCCGTCCCCGTCAGCAGCCTGGCAGCTCTATTTTGCACCCAGCACTGAAACCACCTGCAGGGACCCCTTCGGACTAGTGGGGCCTGGCCTAGGCATGTTTTCACAATCTTCTCAGCCTTGCTTCTGAGTTCAACTCAAGGTGCTGCTTTAAACCCACAAAGCCCTTGCACAGCGTGGGAACACAGTGGGGCACAAGCGGGATCTGCAGCAAGATGTTGCAGCACGGGATTCCCACCCCACAGGAAGGCTGTGTCCCTCTTCGGCTATAAGCCCGTGCCTTCCAGCAACTCCAACTTCATATTTTTCCTTTAGGGATACCTAAGTAACTTTTTTAAAAAGGAGGAGAAATAGCTTCTATAATTTACACCAGAAGAGGGCGCTACAAGCCAAAGGAAGTTAAACCTTTCCTGAAAGTATGTTGCTCAGTTGCAAAGTCGTGCCCGACCCTTCATGATCCCATGGACAACATTCCCCCACACCTTCCTGCCCTCCACCATCCCCCAGAGTCCACTTAAACTCACACCCACTGCCCCAGTGACCCCATCCAGCCACCTCATCCTCTGCCACCCCCTTCTTCTTTTGCCACCTATTGTTCCCAGCATTAGGCTCTTCTCCAGGGACTCCTTCCTTCTCATTAGGTGGCCAAAGTATTTGAGCTTCATCTTCAGGATCTGGCCTTCTAAAGAGCAGTCAGGGTAGAGTTCCACAAAAACGTGCAAGGAACCCAAATATTCATCCCTGTGAAAGCTGCAGAGTGTAAGAGGAGGGAGCTATTGCGGCAGCCAAAGAAAGGAAATGCATTACAAAAATAGAGGGCCGGAGAGGACTCATATTTACATAAAATGTGCATTTGCTGTAGAGGGATGGATGGCCATTTTAGAAGGATTGCAGTGATTTAACTAGAAATAAACCATATATTTGATTCCTAGAGTTGGCAATGTACTCAGAAAAGCAGCTCTTACCATCCCACCCCACTGCCCTGCCACAAACACCTCAAAAGAGGCCTCGGCGTCTGGTGGTGGAGGACAGGTGACCCCAGTCCGTGAGTGGGTAACTGTCCAAGTGCAATCCCTGTGCTTTACAGGCTTGCTAAAGTGCCTCCCAAACCCAGTGAGTTCACACATGCAACCTTTCTGTTCATGTAACTTGGCCAGCCTGTTCAAGGTAACTTTAATTCAGAAGGCCTGTCAAAGGCATCTAATTAGAGTGAAATATAACTTTTCTTTATGGTGCTGTGACCTGTGTCCAATCACTTTCCTATCCATATCAAGGAATCCAATCCCCTTCCTGGGTATTGTATTCACTCCCCTTTTGTGTATTCTCTATAACCCTAAGGAAATTAACATGAGGTGTTCCTATTTTAGGCACCCAGGGATCCATGCATTGAATTGTAAGGAAACCTATTTGCCCTTGCGAGAAACTGATCATATGAGCCTTAATTGCAAGGCCAGGTGAATTGAAGGCCTACTTGGTGCTAACTGAGTTCAGGGCCACTGCTTTTTCTGCCATGGGATTTTTTTAATCTTTAAAACTGATTTTTGGCAGGATGGCTGCCCAAACTGAAGATAGCTTGAAGCACAGGGCTTTCCTTTCTAAAGTGGATCCATGGAAATCATAGCAGATCTTCAGTGTTCCTTCCTTCCTTCCGATTAACTCCAATACAGTTGCTCTGCCCAACATTAAAAACTGCACCCTGGGATCAGCATGTGATGACTTTCCATCGTTCCCTGAGTCCTTGTAACACAAAGCTGTCCTCCACAGACCCACAGCCAATCTTCCCCAATGAGGATGCTGCCTACCACAATGTCCATCATCCACTGTTCCCAGAAGCATATGAGGCAGCAGTTTTAAAACACTTTTAACGCATGGTTTTCCTTGATCTTTTGACTTTGAAGGACTTTGCCAGCTACCTTTCCATGAGAACTCAAACAAATGGTATTGGAATACAAAATATCTTTTGAATACAGATATTTTTGCTGAAGGGTCACCTCAGTCTGTCAGGAATGTCAGAAGAGCTATGCTGAGACAGACCAGGGTCCAAAGAATCCAGTGGCTGACCAGCTGCCCAAAAAAAACCACAGGTAAGATGTAGTAGCAGCCCATGTTCCCGAGCAATCGGTTTGTGAAGAACCTTCTCCTCTATGAGTTTATCCAGTCTCCTATTAAAGCCACCCAAAGTGATGGCCATCACTGCATCCTGGGCATGTGAATGCCAGAGTTTTGTGTTTGAGCAAAGTTAGCAATCATGGAATAAATATAAGGAGATATTTTCTTATGGGTCAGTAGAACAGAAATGAGAGTGAGAATATATGACAATTTCTCCCAAAGAAATGTATCCAGTAAAGTCCCACAGCATTCTGTATTATTATTATTATTATTAATTAACATTACTAATAATAGCCACAGCTCTCTGAGCAGTTTACAACAATGATCATAAGAATCATACACTCTGGTCACCCATCCAGATTCTAACCAGGCCTGATCTTGTTTAGCTTCCAAAATTAGACAGAATCAGGTACTTCAGCCTGGAAGACCAGCATATGATTGCCAATCCTTTTCAACCTATTCATAAATAGGTTGAATAGGGACCAGGATACCAGAAGGAGAGGTCTGCCTGGTGCTGTTATATGCTTTTTGGCGCCAGGTCAAGACCTCTTTATTTACCCGATATTTAAGTTTAAATATTTTAATTATGATTTTATTGATATCCTCAGTCGTGTGCTCTTTTGTTGTTGATTGATGTATGTATTAGGTGTTTTGTATTGTAAGCTGCCCAGAGAGGAACCATAACGGACGAGATAAAAATATCCAGATAAATAAATGAAATGATCTGGAAATAGAAGTAAGCAAGTGAAGTGGCCATATTTGCTAATGACACCAATTATTTTATTTTATTTTTTTAGGGTGGTTCACACCGAAGGGGATTGTGAGGAGCTCCAAAGCTGCCAAATGCAGTTCATTGTAAGCAAGACTAAATGTCGGGGCAGAAAATCCCAGCTCCAAGGACAGGCTGATGGGACCTGAGCTGCCCCTGACTGGTCGAGAAAGGGATCTTGGCTTGTTGGTGAAGAGCTGGATGGGAATGCTGGCCCCGTGCACAGCTGCTGGCCTAATTAGGGACGGCATTTAAAATAGACCTGCCAAGGTAGTACTTCCGTTCTGCAAATCCTCGGTGTGCCTACTCTCGGAATACCTTATTAATTTACTGTTGTATGTATAAGCCTCCAAGTAGTCCAAAAAAACTGTCCGGGCGGCATGCGACAAACAGAAAATTGCAAATCCACATATTGTGTGCAGTTCGGAAAAGGGACACTGTGGAGGTAGGGAAAGGGCAGGGAAGGGCGATGGAAAGGAAGCAACTCCTCTCTGAAGAGCGGCTGGAGCAGCTGGGATGCATAGCTTAGAGAAAGGGCGGGTATCCCTGGCGCGGAGAAAGCTTTTCTCCCTCTCCCGTAATAATAGGGCCCAAAGGGGTCGTCCCACGAAGCGGATGGGGGGGCGGCTTGGGACCTTCCCGAAACCCATGCTCGAACTGTGGAATCCACTGCGAGGAAAGTGTTGATGGGCACCCATTCGGACGGCTTTATGTAGGCATCGGTCTGAGTAATTTTTGTGCCCCGCCCTTTGCCGTGTCTCCGGGGGGCTCCAAAGGGGGATCAGGAAGACCGAGGCGGCTGGGGGGGGGGCGCAGCCGCCCGGCCGCCTTCGCGCTCCCTTCGTGCTCGGGGCGCTCGCCCGGCGCGTCCCGCTCCCGACGCTGCGCCGGGAGGAGGATCCGGGCGCCGTTCCGGGATCCGGCTTTTCCTTCCCTCCGCAGGACGGCGGCTCCCAGCGGGGAGAAGAGCGGGGTCGCCGCAGCCCCTCCGCCCTCGCAGGCGCCAGCCCGGAGCGCCGCCGCGCTGCCTAGACGGGCAGGAAACGCGCGCGGGGGGCCGTGTGGACGCGCCTCCCCGGCGATCCCGGGAGCGAGGCCGGCCTGGCGGAAGGCGGCCCGGGAGGTGAGCGCGGGAGCGGAGCGGTGGGCAGGGGTCGCGGCGGAGGCGGCCGCGCCCCGGCGGGGTCGGGGAGGAAGGAGCGGGAGGGCCCCACCGCCTCCTGGCACTGGAGCGGGGGGGGGGCACCTGCGCGGCGTGGCTCCCCGGTGCGATGCGCCGCGGGGTTTCTCCATCCGCCGCCGCCCCCCTCCTGGGGGCCCGTCTCGGCAGCCCCGGCACCTAGTGGTCCAGCGGCGGGGGGAGTCTTGCATTGGCCGGGGGGGAGATGTCCTCCCGGCCAGCACCACAAAGGGACCCCCCCACACACACGCCCAGCAACTTTGCCCCTCCCTCCCCCCGTTGCGCTGTTCCCATTGCAGGATCGTTCTGTCGGCCGCGCACACGGTTCCCATCCTGCCTCCGAGGGGCAGCGATTGGGATCGGGGGGGGGGGCGCTCGTGGGGGCGCTGCGCTGCCACGACGCCCCCGAGCCGTTCCTTGCCAGGGGAGCGCCGCTTCGGAAGGTGGTTCTTGGGAGCTTCTGCCTGGATCCGGTGCTATCAGGGGGAAAGCGCTAAAAGCCCCCGAAGCTTCTTTCCCAGGACTGGCCACTGAGGGCTTTGCGTTTCCTTCCCTTTGGGGGCTGGGCTGGTTCCTCCCCACCCCCACCATTCAAAGTTCACGCCCTGAGCGGTCCTCACAACAACCCTGTGAGGCGGATCGCGATGAGATTCTGTCTGGTGCAGCACTGAAGCTGTTGGGTTTCTGCCAGAGGCCCGGTCTCAAATCCCTCCCTGCACAGCTGAGCTCACAGAAGTGAGGTCCACGTCCCAAGCACAGAGCGTACGCCTCGCCCACAGACGTCATGGGTTCGATTCCCAGCATCTCCAAATTTCGGTGGCCAGGCAGACCCAGGGCCTGACTCAAAATGGGGCAATTTCCCAGGCACCTCGTTTCCCAGGCCGGCCCACCTCGCTGAGCTGTTGTGAAGAGGAAGCAGGGAGGGCCGTGCGTGCCACACGGGGCTCCTTGCAGGGAGTGGATATGGTGGAAACAGCCCCTGGGGTCTAGAAGGTGCCCGGCTTCGACCTCTTTGCCTCCTGCACAGGAAGCAGCAGTGGGACCGCCTCTCCGGATCCACTCTTCTTCTTGGTGCTGGAGAACAGCCAGGTCAGGCCATGGAGGGGCAAGGAGAAGGGGATTTGGGGAGGGGCTCAGCTTGGGTGAGGGAGGTGAGGAGATGTTCAAAAGCATCAGCGTCTTCCCTTGCAGGGCTGCCAGATCCCAGAATGCCCAAGCAGGACGGCTGTGAATTTTGCCATTTCAGCCACACGCAGTCCTGCAGAACACCCCCACACAGAGCCATCTACCCTGTCCCTTTTCCCCAAGAAGGCGGCACTCACAGCCTCCCTGCACATCTGTCCAGGATTCAGAGGAAGGGGCCTGCTTGCTGGTGTGTTGTGTCTTTTCTTCTCCTGGACCTGAGGGGATCCCTTGGTGGTTTTGGCTCAGCTGGTGCACAGTCTAACTGAGACAGACGCAACAGCTTTCTCCACCCCTCGCCTTCACGTGGCCCCACGTTTCATCTCCCTGCCCTGAAATCCCAGTGCTCCAGGTGAGAACCAGCCATGGCTTCCCCAGCAAATGAAAAAGCTCCCTATAGCTTTTCCCCCCTCCCTGTTGAGCCCCCCACGGACATCAGGGAGGGAGAACCAAGGACGAACCAAGATGCCCCTTCACTCAGCCAGGATTGCCAGCTCTTTCAGACTCACTGTGGATTTCTGGAATTTAATTCCCCCCCCCCCCGAGACAGCAAAGTGTGACTGTCCCACTGGTTCTCCATGTTTCCCTCATTATGGAAAGGTACCCAGCAGTAGGCCAGAAGGTTACCAAATACTTTGGAAAATGTTCTTGCGATTCACAATTGCAGGTGGGTTCATCTCTATTGTGGGCCTTCCATAACTGCAGAAGTTTGCAGATACAGTGGTACCTCGGCTCACAAAATTAATCCATTCCACAACTCTTGTCACGACCCAAATCGGTCGCGAGCCAAGTCAAATTTCCCCATAAGGTTAAATGTAAATAAGGTTAATCCGTTCTGTAACTTTTTTTTTTTTAATCA